ATCGATTACTGCTGGTGACGGACGTATCATGATGCATTATTAGTGAGAGCTAAAACTTGACTTCTCGGAATAAACTCTGGTGATTAGTGATCACGTTTGTGAGAACTTTTGTTATCCAACGGTATTGGTCCCAATTTCAGGACTATAATATTCCATGTTGTGTTTTAAAGGCTGTTTCGGTGAGTATGATTTATCTATGGTATTGCTGACAAGTGAGTTTATAGTAGTTTACAATAAATTAAATATGTAATGAAAAAACACATCAAACATGAGCATGATATTTCTTTACACTAATCACTATTTTTTAATAAATATTTTCATGACATTACATTTAGGTAGGACTTGTATATTAAGAAACACGTAACACCCTAATATTATAAACAAATATTATTTTAGAATATTTACATAGGCCAGTGGCTATTAGGATGGTTGTTAGGAATGTGCTAGGCCACTAGATGAGGGAAATTGGAGTTTTATATTTCAGAGCAGTTAATCCGCATTTCCGGATTTGAATAATTTGCAAGCTGACATCCCGTCACCCGTCTGCAACTGTTCTGCATACAGCGTTGCAAGTGTCCATTTAATTCCCTTTATGTTTGCGAATTTATGTGTACTTTTTTATCAGGGGCTATTTAATTCACACAGAACGTGGTAAAATAGAAAGAAACGAATGTTAGAGTGAGTAAAAATCCGTGTGGGCATTCCGATATTATTCTGATGAATAATTTGAAAACTAATGTGTGCCACAAATATCTCTTAAATATATATATATATATATATATATATATATATATAAATCCCCTTTCAAATCTTCATAAGAAATACCATTTTAAGATTAAATTTAGCCTAAAACTTTTGCCGTCAAAGAACATTGTAGCCTATTAATACAGGGGATATATGTCATCCAATAGTATACGGTTGTATCATGCGGTTCAGTATGTTTTTTACACAATGTTGATTGCAATATTAGTACACATATTTGCATACTTTGATTAGTTGTAAACCTATGGTCAAACATTAGAATAAACTAAATAAAATGTAAGGTAGGCCTAAGAGTGTGTGTTCATAAAGGTAATGGGGTTTAGTCTGCCTGCAGCGTGGAGGAAATGGGAAAATGGAAAATCGCATCACATCTTGGGAAAACAAACTTAGAGCTGCTCCTTACCCGGGAAAACACGAGAGATGCAACTGTGAATTCAGAAGGCAGGAAATTAGGCTCAAAATGTTGCTGTAATTGGTCTAATTTGGTTTGAAATGGCAATGAATAAGAATGAAATCCGCCCTTTAAGACCACCTTTACAATGAGGCTGTAGAAAATGCCTGACCAGATGAAATAACAAAATATATTTATTGAGGAGAAGTCTCTATAGTAGAATAAATACAATAGAGTTCTACAAAAAATAAAATTGTCTAACTCTCCGGAGCACAATATATGAACGAATAACGAATGTTTAATTTAAGAGCATGCAATAAAATATATCTTGTATTGTGATAGAATTCTTATTGCATGCACCAAATGCACTGCAGACAGTTTCTTATGAAATACACCATTGTGAAACAGTTGAATGCCAACTCATTTTATCGATTGGGCCATGTTGATTATATTTTTTACATTTCACAGAATGCTTCCCATATTGCAATGGCAACCTTAATTAGTATTGTACTGGCTTCAAACTTAATAAAGTTTACCATTCGCTTTGATTACTGCAGGCATATTTATCACATATTGTGAAATATTATGTGTGTTTTATAGTAACGATTAGGCGTTGATAATTTGATATATTATTAGGTAATGTATACAGTGTGTAAATTAAGTATTGAAAGACATCTGTATTTTTAAAACCGAATTAAAAATCACTTGTTCTATCTATTATTATCATGTCTGTGTTTAATATAATACAGTTTGTATATTAAAGAGGATGTTTTAAAAGTGCCGAGTTTTAAGTCATTTCTTGTTCTATAGTACATGTCATTAGGAAGATGTTTCCTACATCATTTACAAGTTCTCAAATTCAACTTTCATATCTAAAATAATTTAAGTACCAAATTAGAATTTTCCCCCTGATTTAAGACTGAAAATCAATTTTATTCCCCAACACCTATTGCCAAGATAAGTTGCCAAAGTTTCTCAGTGCTGACGGCCATCCTTAACAAAGGAAAGTTTCTCGCTGAGGGTCCTTTGTTTTGTTCTGTTTTAACTAAGTCTAATTTTATATCCCACAAACTTGGGTTTAACCCTTTATCTTGTTATCCTTAAACCGCCGGTTCCTATATTGTTTTCAGTGTTCAGTAACACAATAATGTTAGTTTTTAATTTTCTTGAACAATGTTCTTTGATATTATGATAAATTACAATAAAAGTTACCCTCGGTATTTATGCAATAGTTTTAAATAGTCAGTGAAGTTTCTCCTTACTTTAGAGTTCTGTTCTTTGTTTGGTAAATGTTAAACCAAAAGCGCCAGGTAGGCAACGAATCACCACAAAGTCCCGGGTATTATCACAACTAACTTATTGTCGATAGACAAGATTCGATCTCCAACCCCCAGGACTGCAGTCTCCCTCTATCCAATACACAGACTGCACTGCATGGTGCATTATGTCATTGGAAGTATGCAAATGTTTATATTACGTGCATAGTAAATATAGTATACGTTACAGAAACCAAAATTAAACACAATAAACAAGAATGATCTATACAAGTTTTCAAAGTTAAATTATAAATGAAAAAAAAATATTCATGACAACAGTCGTACGCTGTGAGGTGGTGCATATGGGGGGCTTAAAGTTTACCCTCGCTAGTACCATATGTTGCCACAACGAGCGCTAGCGTATCAAACACAACCCGAAGGTTCAGTGCTTCGCGTGTCGCGGACTGTGTAATAAGTGTCGCAGGCGCTCATACTCTACAGTATTGTGTTTGTTGTGTGGAAACACTGGTCTTGAATTTTTAAATATCCTCACCATATTCCATTTGTAAGTAGCATCCTGAATGGAAATTCTGAATAACAGAGGTTTTACTACGTTAAGGAGTGGTCGAAATATAAACGATTCTAAAATTTTGTATTTTAAAAGATTGTTCAAACTTGGGACCTTTATTTTTTATTTTGTGCTTTCTATTTTGCCTTAAGCTCCGTAGAAAAATTATATGGGTAGGTTCTCAAGTAGTTGATATCATCTCTACGACCGTTTAAGGGATGAAAATAGAATATTAAAACTCATTAATTTTTTTTATAAATCGCTGCAATTTAACACACGAACCCAGATAATTTTGTTTTATATTAGCTCAATAGAAACGGTGATGAAGGTTTTTTTCGTATTCGATTCGTGTATATAAACAAAGAGCAATACATATGCGAGTAACTAACATGAAATACGTAAATTTAACTTAATTTCCCCTATTTTAACAAAGAATTCCTAAGTTGTTAATTTTAAAGATTGCTTCGACATTACATTTAAGAACACGCATAACTAGAACAGGATGTAGGCGATAATCACTAAGGTATGTGTGTATTAAGAATGGTAGAATTAAATATGGAAATATTAAAAAAATCTAGATTTTATTTCTTTAAAGAGTACCAGAAGCGTGGTTACTGTAGCAAGAGAGCGGTCGGGAAAGTAAATTAAGTTCGTCAAGAACTCAGATTGAAGAATTTTCAGCCGCCTGCCTCTCTTTCTCTTTGGCTTAGAAAAATGTATCCAAATCTTAAACTTTGCAAATTAAATATGTATAAAAACCAACAAAATCCAAGCAGAACTGTATTCATGATTTTACATAGTATTAAATGAAAAATAAAATTCAAACGTATATTTGCAGTTAATACGAGTACACATGTCTATTAGGTAATCATAAATTCTTATATTCTTAAAATTTAACTAATTAAAATAAAATAAAATAATATAAAAATAGAATTAAAGGCATATTCTTAAAATACAATATTACATCTGAAATATAATAAGTTTGGGATGGATTGAATATATAACGAATTTATTTTTATCACATAAACTCAATTTTATAAATGAAAATATATAGAACATTTTGAAGTTCTAGTCATCTGAATGTTTAAAAAATTGTTTTACGAAATTCATAGTTTCATAGTTACATTGCTTATCTGCGGAATTATTATACAAATAAATAACTTGAAATTGATGTATATATCGCACTATGCTCACATTTAAAATTTCCTTCTGACTCCTTGTGGGACGTCTCAATGACAGAAATATTACAGAAACTGTTAGTTCCTTCAAAAAATAGATTTTAAGGTTTCGTGTTTGAGTACCAAATCTTAATGATTTATCTGTTATTGTTCAGAACATATTAAACCCGTGTGGAGCTTAATTGACACTCTGTATACACCTTTATTAACTAATAAGGTCAATTATATCAATACCATTGATACCAATCACTGTAAAGATGAACTGTATCGAATACCAATTAGTACTGTTAGTAGAACGGTTTGCAAGTGTAGTTTATTACTAGATTTCTTTTACCAAATAAAATAGATTCAATTTGTAAAGCAATCTGTAGAATTGCTATATAGTTGCTATATATTTTTATTGCATATGTGTCAACTACATTAGCGAACTTTATTGACTAGTGCATTAAGTTAATTGGGTCAGATCATAATTCAACAACAAATTAATCTGAAATTATGATTGCAATACAACTGAAACCAATTAATCTCAATACTGCAAAATATATTTTTAAAAGGTACTAACAAAAATCTGTTTGATACGTTTTTCAATTTTAGTTAACTTTAAGGTTTAAAAGATTCTAATATTTTAATATTATTTCACGTTCAAAGTAAATAGTTAGTGAAGTGGAATTTCAACATGATTTTACTAATTAAGTATTATATATTAAGGGAAAGCACATTTCGAATTCACTATACAGTACTGTGAAAACTAAGCCTAGCAGTTTTATTCTGAGAAAGTTTTGATTTCATTTGATATTGAAGCCAGTTGTCCTTGATTTTTCTATAGATGGTTCTGGCTGAGAAGTCATCAGCGTTCCCAGTGAAGCATCATACCAACCTTTCTCATATTTAATAGCATCTTTCCTTAAAATAACCCTTATTGTCGTAATGATTAACCAAGGATAAATTATCAACGAAATATTGAACATTCCAATTAATTATGTCTAAACCAAAATAATTTTAGACACAAACTGAAACAACAACTATTTGTCTTGGAGGAATTGCACGTGAGATTTGACTCGGCACGTATACACTTGTTTTTCATGAAAAGCTGTTCTAATTCAGTGTCTATGTTTCCCCATGAGTAAAATTATTTAAAAACGATTTTGTGTAATTTGAAATGCAGGCAAAAACGTGTTGATTGTGTGATACCAACCATATAAAGTCGGAATTATGTCACTAATGAGAAACACAAAAACTTAAACTTGAGTTGGCGAGAATCCTTGGTTCTAGTATAAACAATGTGTTTAAATAGTCGTTATGATATCTCGGCTAATTCCCAGCTCTATATCTGGATACGAAAAAGTGCTTTATTTACAAAGTATACATAAGCTAAGAAACAGAAAATTGTATCCCTATTTTGAAGTTGTCCTTGCCTTCATGGTAGGTTAGCTCAGAGACTACTGTGCTTTTGCCTTTTATGGTCCTTAAAATAATGACACAGCAAAAAACTCATTTCTTCCAACACATTGTAGATGCGTAAGTATGTGTGAGAGTATGCTGAATTCTTCAAATTGTTTATGGAAGTTTGATTAAACGTGTAAGTTTATACACTTTTTTGGTTGGCTTACAACTAACCAATCCCGAATATGAAAAAGAGTCATATAAAACACCTTTTGACTTTCCTGAGAATAATTTAAAAATTTACGTTCACCATTGAATTGAGTCTAGGAAGGAAAAAACAACAAATCTTTAATTCAGCATGTCAAATTATTGAATCACTCCTTTTGCCCTACTTCGAATACAGTATAAAGAAATATTTTATGTTACTACTAACATGTAGTGCACTAAATTTAATACCAAAAGTATATTATCCCACCCTGTTAACCGTAATAAACACATTAAGGCCACTTATTCATGGTCCCATCTCTGAGTTAACACGTGGGTTGGTCGACCATGCGTCATGAACGAGGAATCCTTATGTAGGCAACGAGCCAACTAAAGATTATTGCTTGCCTCGAGTTACACAAACTGGTAAATCCAACAACATGTTAAAAGTTTTGATAAGTTGCTTTCACATGTATAACATATGCTGGAATGGTATTGAAAAATATGAAAAACAAATTACAAAAGTTTACAAGGAAAATGAAAAACATCGAGATTAATTTCGTACGATAAAAGGGAAATACATTATGAGACGAACTGGCATAATAGAAAATGTGATTAATACCAACTGGTGAGGGGAAAATTATGTAAAGACATATTAGTTCACGAAGCCATACTGAAAACATTAGAAAGTCAAATGTGAATGATTTTATGTTGTTAAGACCACTGTTCATAAATTAACTATTGTATAATTAAAACAGTTTTGTTTGATTTTTTAATTCTACATTAAAAATTTGTGTTTAGCAAATAGTGTGCTTGGATGCAGTCTTGAAAGTTATAAATGAATAAATGTGTTTTCAAAAATCCACACTCCAGTACTCCAGTACAGTTTCCAGGTACTCTAAAGTTAATGAAACAGTAAATACAACGGCGCTATCGAGCAATACAAAACCACACATGTACTGCGGGTGTTGCGTCATAAGAAATTTTACGGCGCAAACCGAGTCCTAAATGAGAAAGAAATTTAATTTTAGTAATATATCAATAGCTGTTTAATCTAGTACTATATTAAAATCTTTAATTAACGCTTCAAACAAAATAGTACTGAATGAAAATTTAAGGTGCACAAGACTTTTGATTTTAACATAGCAGGGATTTTACATATAAGTCTTAAACACATGATAATTACACAAACGCAAAACTACTTCCTGAATTATAACACTTATTTTATTAGAAAAACCTTGTTTATTTCTCTTTACCAAGAAAAATTACCATGACGTTATTTTTAAAGGAGACTCCAATATTAAATCATACAAATGAACAAAAATAAACACACGTAAGGTTTGTTGATAAACGTTCGTTTAACGTTGATCCGTGTATTCATTTCAAATGATCGACTGCCGAACTCTGAATACAGACGTCAGTAGGGAATGATTATATAGACAGTTGAGTGCTTTTGACAAGCAGCTGACATTATTGATCAAGTAACTGCTTTGGATCATCTCCCGCCGATGGTTCGGAAGTAACAACTCTATCATCTTCATTAAAAGACACGTTTGCAGCAAGTCTGCCTAGTAAGCAAAATACTTTTACCTACGACCGTTTATTAAAGTAGCGGTTTCAGTACAGTTATTAGAATTGAAAAGTATCTCATAACAGCACTGTTTACTTTCATAACAGCATAGTTTTACTCATAACAAAATGGGTATCGGACCAATGAGGTTCAAGGATTGAGAGAGAAGAACTAAAATTGTAATGATTCAAACTTCAACTAATAAGCTGTTTATGCCAATTTAATTGTTGAGTGCAATTAGTGTTTGATACCATGTTTCGTTGCATCACTGTCAGTGGCAATTAGAGGTTATAAACAAAAACATAACCTCTCTTATATATAAGTAGTGATTTTTAGTAATTAAAACACCGTCGTAGGTAAAGTAGTGTACGCAACTCGCGTAAATAGTGTTAACGACACTCGTAGAAGTTTTTTTAATTTTCTACTCGTGTCATTAACACTATCTTTACGCAATCGTTGCGTAAACTACTATTACCTACGGCACTTTTTAAGGTATCCGTTTCAGTTCAGCTCTCAGAATTGAAAAGTTTCACATAACAGGATAGTTTACTAACATAACATTCTAGTTGTACTCGTAACAACACGGTTAACGGTCCAATGAGGTTCAACGATTGAGAGAGAAGAAGTACAATTGTAATGATTTGAACTACAACGAATCAGCT